TTGAATTATCCACAATATATCCATTTAAACGTAGATTCGTTCAAGTTGGAACAATTGAATAGAATCAAGCAGCAACCTGTCGCACAATACCTTGCAATCCCTGTGTCTCTTTTCATCAATTTCTATATACTTGTCTCCAATAATGAAAGGTTTATTTCATCAAAAATACTTTGCGATTTTTTTTTCTTATTCTATTTTTTATAGGTTTATAAAAATTTATGTGTGACACATTTATAACGTTAGCAAATTATTGGAATATCTTTTTTTTTGTTTTTCACACGGAAATATATTTACCTGAAACAGCTACAAATTGTACTAAATTAGCGAAATTTTTAGTTGCTTCAGTTAAGACTTTCGCTATTTTAGTGAAACTTATCGCTGATCCAGGAATTTTTCTTTTTCTATAGAATAAATAAAACTTTTATTTAATTAAATGACTCTTTTTGGGCTTTTGGGTGAAATTTGAAATAATAATGAAATATTGTGAGCATACTAAATGCCCTCTTATAGCGCAACGGACAATAAAGTGTCCATTTTTGCCCTAGGGTAATAATGGATACATTTTTGACCTGCGAGCGGTAAATAAAGTACACTTTATTGCCCTGGGGTAATAATGGGCACTTTATTGACCTGGTAGCGGTGAATAAAGTATACAATATTGCCCTAGGGCAATAATAGTCACTTTTTTGCCTGTTGGGATATAAGAAAGAATTTAGTATGCTCATGTACAGGTTCGACTTATAAATAAATGTAAATGCAAATAGAAAAATCCCCTAATTATATAAAATATACCAATAAATGTTATAGATAAAATAAAAAAATAATAAATACAACTTCTAATTAATGAGGCTTTAATTTTTTTAAAGTAAAATAGAAACATTTTTTTTAAATATTGCAGAAAAATATTAATAAAATTCTTTAATTGCAATTTTTTGTTGAAATTGTATTTTGTTTATATTAAGATTAAATTTACAAAAGGGTTAATTATGGGCTTTATCGACATTATTATTTTTTATTCCGTGTTTAATGACTATAACACGTTAATTATACTGTTTGACATGGTAATTATATGGCGAGTGTGTTAGATTCAAGATTCATGTACTGTGAACTTTATCGCAGAACAAAATCTCGGAAAATAATGATTGATTACACTTTTATTTAACAATAGGTTTATAATTTTCATTCTTATTTTAATAGACCTACAATTTTTTTTTTATTTAATTTAAAACTAAAAAAGCCTTTATATCCATTTAATAGTACGAAATTATTCAAATTAGAGGAATTGAATATTTATTTAGAAATATTAACTGTCATTTTTATTTTATTTCTATTTTATTGTAAGTTTATTTTTTTTACTTTAATTTACTTTTAATTTTGCTTTATTTTTATTTCTATTTTACTTTTATTATATTTTTATTTTATTTTCATTTTATTTAAAAGAATAAAATTAAAATCTATTGAAAATAGACAAAATTTAAAAATAATTGGAAAAATTTTATTGACTGGATTTCTACAGAATAATGTAAAATAAACAAGTTTTGTATAATGATTTTATCAATTAGTGTATTTTAAAATTTTTTAAACTTAGAGTTATATGAGTTTTTATTACATTTTTATGAATTCATTTAGTTTTTGAAAAATGTTCTTCAAATATTCCTAAGTATTATCTTTTTCTACAAATGGTTTATAATAGACGAAAAACATTTTTTTCAAATATTCGAATTCTATGTATCAGTTTGGATTTTTATTTAATTTCTATGAGTTGTATTAAGAGTTCTGGTAATATTACAAAGAGTTTTTGGAATTATTTTTTTCACAGTTTGGTGTTAATTAAAAATACAAAACTAAAGATGCACATTGAAATTTTTAAAAAATGAAATTTTTAGAGTTTTATGAGTTTTGATTGTTTGAAGAGTCATGATGAGAGTTCTAATATTATTATAAATTTTATAATTATAATTTTATGAATTTTCAAATTATCCTTATCATCTTCTCAAAAATATTTTACATTAAAGGTGAAATCCGAAAAAATGCTACACTTAATGGGTTTATAAATTTAGAGTTCATATGAGTTTTAATTAAAGGTCTATGAGTCCTATAAAGGATTCTAGTTTCATTAAAATGAGTTATTCAAATAATCCCGAGAACAGTTTATTCTAAACTAAAAATTCAAATTAGAATTCATAATTTTAACTTAACAAAAAATTGAATTTCCATAATTTAGAGTTCTATGAGTTTAATTAAAGTTTCTATGTGTTTTGATAATAATTTTCATTTTATTATGAAGAGTTTTAGCAATAATTCTAATGGTAGTTTGTTCTTAACCTAAATTTCGAAATTTAGAGTTCTATGAGCATTAATAAATTAAAGTTCTATGAGTTCTGGTACGAACTTCTTCCCTAACATAAAATTTTTCGCGAATAATTCTAATAATATTTTGTTCTCTAATAAAAATTCAATAAATATTTCGTACTTTTCATAAATATTAAATTTTCAAAATTTAGAGTTTTATGAGTAAAGTATTTTACAAATAATTCTAAAGTCAGTTTGTTCTAAAATCATATAATTCAAAAATTATTTCATACTTTGATTTCACTAAAACATCAAATTTTCTGATTTTTAGTTCTATGAGTTTCAATTAAAGTTCTATGAGTGCTAAAAAGAATTCTACTTTTATTTTAAAAAATTATTCTGATAAGAATTCTAGTTTTATTACTCAAAAAATTAATAAAAAACTCAAAAAATAAAAACTTCTCAATGATCAATTTTTTTAAAGGCTTGGAACTTTAAAATTCATGTTGCTGTAGGAATCCAGTTCAAATAGAAACTGGAGTTTTTAGATATATTTTTTAAAATAATAAATAATTTATTTTAAAATATTCATTATTATACAACAATAGTTGTATTTTTTTAGTTATAAGATTTTTGTTTTGTAAGCCCGTTGATACTAAATAAATAAATAATAATAGTAATAAAAATAATAATAAAAATTAATAAAAAAATAATTAAAAACAATTTTAATTATTATAAAAGGTAAATGAAACAATTTCGATTAAAACAAATTTTTTAATTAATTTTAAATATTATTTGTGGTTTAATAAAAATGAGAATGGAATTTGCTAATATTAATTTAATATCCCAAAAAAGGAATAAATTTATTAATTTACTATATTCATCTGTGAAATATATTTAAAAAAAAAAAATGTTTATAGATAAAATTGCAACGAAATTGCATTGAATAGAAAGTTTAATAAAAAAATCACGTGATTCTCACTCATCGCAAGCACGACTGGTACGAGTGGCGGATGAATATAATAATAGTAATAATACGATGAAATTCTATAAATGGATTTATTGGCAAACTAAGATGGAGCTTTATTTCTGTACTGACCCACGAATATAATACGATCGACTGTGATGGTTCATTTGCCAGAAACTTGTGTGTAGAATATTCGTGCATTCAGTCTGACTCTTTCTCCAATATTCTAAATTCTCCCTGATTTTAACCCATTGAATTTTTTATACTTACTTATAATAATTTCATTGTTCTATTTTCAATCGTAAAATCAGAGATAATGAAAATCTTCTATATTATACTTTCACTTTTTTTCTTTTTAATATTTTTCCATTTAAAATTAATATTTATTTACTTATATAATGTATTCAATTATATACTACAATTACAATTTCCATTGTAAAAAAAAATTGTGTTACAAATTTTCTTGAATATCGTGAGTAATTATTATTTATTATTTTTTTTATGAATACTATTCTTTTGTAGCAAAAGAATTTTTATATTTGTTTTCTTAAATTTATTTTTTATATTTATCATTTATTGAATAATATTTTCTTCAGCAGATAAATTTTTACTTCTTTTTTGTTTTTTTTTTAAATTTATTTTTATATTTTTTTTTATAAATTTATATTTATTTTTTTCAATTTACTTTTTTAACTTTTACTCTTTTTTAATTTGAATTTTTCTTGTAATATTTTTAATAACTAATTTTCTTTTATTGTTTATGCAAATTTAAATATACATAAGAATTTTATGAATTTTATTGTAAAACTTTTCTAATAATATGTTTTGTTGAATTTTAAAAGAGAAAATCACAATTTTTTTGTGCCAGAAAAATTTTTTAAACTCGAGATGAGTTCTTTTTGAAATTCACGATTCGGTTTGAAGTACACTTTGCAGTTTGAAGTACACTTGATAATTTAAAGCACTTGCACTTTGCAAATGAAAGTATGTAATATAATTATAGTATATAATTTAGTATATAATTTAATTATTAGTATATTTATTTTAATAAATAAATAACAATAAATAATATTAAGAATTTTATTTAAAATAAACTTTTATAATAATAACTTTTATTAAACTTATAAAATAAACTTAATGTAAATAGTAATTAATTTTTTTATACTGAAAATTATTATTGCTAAAATATATTTTGTCATTATATATCGCACATCACTGAATTAAATAACGATATTTCTGATTAATAATCGACTCGCAGTCATTTGCAGCGAAATAAATGACCTAAATTTCTTTAAGTTCAAATTACCTTTTTATAAAGTGTCACTCGACAGTGAGTCAATATAAAAAAAACATAATTAATTATCATTTTTGAACACGTTATTTTGCGTTCCAAAAAAAATTTTTTTTTATTTCTTCCTATGACAATCAATTTAGATTAAAAATTTAATTAATTAATTTCACTTCACTCTGTACATAAATGAGAAAATCCGCGTAACATTAGCAAAATTTTTAATTAACTTATTTCGTTTATTTAATTGAAATATTAATTGTTTACTATTTCGAGTACTTTTTTTTGCGTACACATACGAATATTTTTTATCAACAATTTTTCATCTCGTTGCTAATTAAAAAATTTGCACACTAATACAATATTGAATCAAAAAAAGGAGGAAGAGAAAAAATAAAAAAAAGGGAAAACAAAATACGAAATTTTGTTTTTGTAAAAATATTTTCTACTCACTTTTTTGTGGTGGTTACTTATGTTCACAGTGGTTGTCTTCTGTTCTGTGTTAACTTTCCTTTTCTGTATTTATATCTCAGTGATAATAAAATTGAAAATCGTGAAAAAAATAATGATAATAATTTTTTGCAATGGAAATTTCAAGGTTAAGTGTATCTTTAAAAAAATGGTAAAATTTAGGGGACAGTGAAAAATGCATTTTACAATATTATCGCAGCTATTGAAACTTTAAGAGTTGAACTGTCTTTTTTACGTTCTGATAGTTCGTGAAAAATAAACTTGAGAAAATTTTATTTCAAACCACGAGAGTTTGTGAAAGACGCATGTTAGTAAAGAAAAAAAAACGTTTTTGAGATATATTGACAAAAAGTATTTTATCAACAATTATATTGACATAGATTTTTTTACTACTGATACACGTTTTTTATACTTATTCGCTAATAAACTTTTGTACAGTATTTGAGATACATTTAACTGCTTTTTCTGCTCATGTTTTCTGACGAAAAACAGAAAAAATTTAAAGTACATACAAAATATTTTTTTTTAATTTTAAAAACTCAATGGAATTTTTGTTTTTGAGTTAAAATTTAGAATTGAAGAAAAATTAGAACAATTTTTTTTACAAAAGAAATTTCCTATAAGCTTTTTGTTTAGAAAAATAAATTAACTGAACTTCTTTTTTATATTTTGTTATAAAAAACAAAGAATGTTAACTACGAAATATTTTTCTTCTTTAAACTGAATGAATTAAAATTTGGAGTTGTGAGAAATTTAGTTTAGAAAAGAAATTTGAATTTTTTTTTGTTTAGAAAATCAATTTTTCTGTTTGTAAAAAGAAAATTATTTGAACTTTTTTTCTGTCGTCGTTTTGAAGAAGAAAAATTATTTGAATCTTTTATCCAGCCTCTCTGGACACTTGGGCTTATGATTATCATCTTCAATTTCATTTTGTTCGCTGACACGTGAAGGTCGCGAAAAACGGAGAAATTGCCAATTGCCACTGGAAACTGGCTACAAAGAAATTCATTGCTTTATAAAAGTTTTCCACTTTTTCTTTTCTTCTCTTTTTTAGTTTTTTTCTCTTCTTTCTATACACTACTTTTCTAAATGGAAATTTTTTCAAGTTTTTTGCCATTAAAGAACTCGCGCGAAATTTAAATTTCCAATTAAAATATTGACTTTTATGTTTTCAAGCTGTAAAATGTTTTATCAAAAAAAAGTAATGGGATAATTGTTAATTTTCAATTGTACAATTTGTCTGTTTTCTGAAATTACATTTTAATCGAATACGAATGAAGATTTAAATTTTTTTTTATTTATTATTAAAAATAAATTTTATTTATTATAAATTTAATTTAAAAAACTTTCTTTATTAAATATTTCCATTTAAATATTTTAAATAATTTAACAGAATATTTATTTATCTATTACACAAATTAGAAGAAAAATATTTCGTTTCACATTCATATTTTGTTTAACTATTTTATTTTTGAAAATTCTATTTTTGTCATGTTTTCAAAAAAATATTCTATTCTTTTGCTGTTTTGCGTTACATCCCACATTGAATATTTTATCAAGAAAAATAATTTTGAGCAAGAAAAAACCTTGATTACTTTCTGTTTTGTTTCTTTCTCCATTTTTTTTTTTTGTTTATTTTCATTTTTCATTATTCTATGCTCGAATGGCTAATCTCTGAAAAAAATCTCTGAAAAAAATTGTCCATTTAAATCTCAACATTTTTATTTTAAACTTAGACTGAAAAGAAATTTTTATTTGGTTCAAAAGTACCAATTTTTTAGTTGACTATTTAGCTAATATTGTACAGAAAATAAATTTATTTGATTTATAATAAAATCTTATTACAAAAGAATTACTTCTGAATGTACAATAAATGAGATAGAATTAAAAAAAATGGTAATTAGGTATTATCGATCAGTACATCAATAAATATTTTAAACAAATAAAATATAATAGAGAAATAATTAATTAATAATAATTATAAATATCTGTCTCAATTATAGGTAGTTTCTGTCCCCTATTTCCCTAAAAGTCCCCTTTTTTTAATTTTGGCCCCTAAACGTACCCTATTTTGAAAATTTCCCCTATTTTTTTCTTTTATATTTTAATGATGAATTCACAACAAATTTATCAAAGTGCCATTGACACTTTCAATTGGAAACTTTTATTTTGAAAATTATTTTCATAAATATTTTTTAATTCGTCGCAGGAAATCAATTATTTTCAATAATTTTTAAATAATTCTGCAAAAGAATTCAATTAGCTTGATAACCAACAAAATTCTCCCCATAAAATCAATTATTTTAAGGATTTTTAATGAAATTCTTTTCCAAAATTCAATTATTTTGACAAGTATCAAAATTCTTCTCAAGAATTCAATTATTGTCAAAAATTTTAATTAAATTCTTGGCAAAATTTCAATTATTTAAATAAAATTTAATAAAATACTTTGTACGAATTCAATTATTTTTATCAATTTTAATGAATATCTCGTCAAGAATTCAATTATTTTTATAAACAGCAAAATTTTTCGCCAAAAATTCAATTATTTTCAAAAATTTCAATACAATTCTTTGCAACATTTCAATTATTTTTAAAAGTTTTTCGCAATTATTAAAAATTTTATTTTTAAATAAGAAAGAATTAAACTTTGACAAACATTCAATTATTCAATAAAACAATAAAATTCGTTGCAATAATTCAAATATTTTCATAAATAACATTTAATTCGTCGCAGAAAATCAATTATTTTCAAAAATTTTTAAGTAATTTTGCAAAGGAATTCAATTATCTTGATAAACAAGGAAATCGCATAAATTCTTCCCATAAAATCAATTATTCTAAGGAATTTTAATAAAATTCTTTTCCAAAATTCAATTATTTTGATATAATAATAAAATACTTTGCAGAAATTAAATTATTTTCAAAATTTTTTTAAAAATTCGTGTCAAGAATTAAATTATATTTATAAATAGATAGGAAAATTCTTCTCAAGAATTAAATATTATTGTTAAAATTTTGTTAAATATTCTTCTCAAGAAGTCAATTATTTTCAAAAATTTTAATAAAATTCTTCTTATGAATTCAATTGTTTTCAAAAATTATTATTTAAATTCTTCTCAGGAATTCAATTATTTTAAAAAAATTTAATAAAACTCTTCAAAAAGTTTTCAATTATTTTCAAAAATATTGTTATAAAATTCTTTAATATAATAAATTTCATTAAAATTTTAATTAAATTCCTTAAAAGAAATTAAATATTTTCAAAAGTTGTTAATACAATTCTTCGTAAAAATTAAATTTTAAGAAACATTCAATATTATTTATTTTTGTATTTAAATAATTGATTTCTCGTAGAGCAATTTTTTGAGTATCTAATAATTTTTTGAGTGAACCAGAATATTTTTTAGGGTCAGGGAAAAAGTGAAAGTTGTGTTTGGAAATCAGGGAAAAGTCAGGGAAAAATAAAGTTAAATTTTTGTGTCAACCCTGTGTAAATAAATTATATTTTTTTATCTTTATTTAACCAATTTTTATGGTCCCCTAAAAGTCCCCTATTTTTTAATTTTCAGTCCCCTATTTCCCCTAAAATACTTTTTAGGGGCACTGTGAAGCCTGAATAATTCAATAATGGAAAATCAATTATTATTAGTTTACAGAGTTAATTTGTTTTATTTTCTATAATAGTCAAGTTGGAGATTTTATTTTGAATCAAATAAATATTTTTTTATTTTTGCATCAAATGAATAAGAAATTATTAATTTTGAAATATTTTTTTTCTCGCATTATTTTTGTTGAGCTCTTAAAATTCTAAAGACGAAGAGAAATAGAGGTTGTAAGATAGATATAGAGTGAAATTGTCGTGATGAAGAATAAAGGAACGATATGATTCTAAGAGACCGAAAAAAAAGTAGGAAGTTAGTAGTAGCCCCCAACGGTGATTATTCTTCTTTAGTTTCCGGCATTCGCCTAGACTGCATTGCGGCTGCCGCAATGTACTGCCAAGAAGTTGTTACATACTTTTCTTTAAAAAAATTCAAAAAAAAGAATAATACTCCCTCTAATTAAACCCTTCCATCAAATATCTTGAGAAATTCTGTCACAAAACTTTAATATTAAATCTGACTTAAGGAGACATTGTCTCTTCTTTTGTTTTGTGTCCACTTTTTGCATCTTTCTCTCTGTCTCTCTTTTTTCTTTTAGAGAATTAAGCACATTGTCATGAAAACTAAAAAGACGAAGAAAATTAAATTCGAAAAAATTGTTCTTTTTTTGAATTTTTAATTAAATAGTTGTTAATTTACTTTGTTGGAATTTAGTCGCATATTGAGTTCTGTCGAAGTTGTGAATTCTAGTAAAGTTGGTAATAAATTAATTTGTTTTATTTACTTAATTCAAATTATTACAAAAATTAATTATTGAATATTAAATTATTATTTTTAATAATAATTTATTAATTATATTATTTGGAAATATTTTTCGTTTTAAAATTATTTTTTGCTTTGAGAATAATTTTTATTTAGAAAATATGTTTTCTATTTAAAGAAATTGTACTTTTCTTTAAAAAAAATTATAATATTTGATGTCGATTTGAATACACATCTCTTTTTTCATTATCATAAGAATTGTTGCATAAATAATTATTGCTAAAGTTATTTACATTTGACGTAAAAGTAAAATTTATATATGCAAAAATGTTCGAGCTAGTCGTTTTTATATACAAATTGCGCATTTTATTTAAGAAAATGAACAGAAAAAAAATGAAACAAAAATTCCGTTTTTCCCATTATAAAGTTCGTGACTTCTTGTATTGCCATATATGACATATAGAGAATTGTAAACAGAATTTCTTCCGATAAAACTTCTTTCACACGTGTCACACAACTGGACTTTTAAATATATAATCATCTACTTTATCGTATAGAGTCACATTTACAATCGTATATTTATTTCACTTTAACATTTTTTTTCTTATAAATAAAATGAAAATTTACAAAAAAAATATTTATTATTATAAAACAATTTTTTTTTCATTAATTATATTTTTTTTAGGTAGTTTGGAAAATTAAAGAAATTTATATTTGTTCATGATTTTGTTTTCTACCTGCTTTGAT